CTCTTGGCCACACATCTGAGACTCAAGAACCTGGGCACTTTGGACCCCATGCTGTGTAATTTATGGTTTCTCGATGGCCCTAGGATCTGCTAGTCAGATGGGACTAAGTGTTGCAATAAATTAAGGTGCTCTGATGAAAAGCCCCTTTCTTGGACAAACCCAGGCTGGCTCTGGAAGTGAGTGGGAGACAGAGCAAGACCGCTTATGGCGAGGGACGCAGGGGAGGGTCTCTCAAGGCCTCTTGATGGTCACTGTGTTGAATCCGGTGCACGGAGCCTGAGGTCGGAGCGCTGAGGGGGCCTGTGCCTGTTTGAGCAGAGGTGTTCCCCTGGACCGGGAACAAGCTGGCTTTCTCCTGGAGGATTTCAGTTGGTTTCGTCTGGAGACTTTCCTTGGCTGGCATTGAGGAGCCTGGAATGCCGCGATTCCAGGGAGTTCACAGGAAGCTATGCATTGTAATTACTGGGCCAGAGTCATACATCTGGCAACTCTGGTGCCAGCGTCTCTTGTGTGGCCCAGCTGCTGCGCTCCTACGGCTCTCACCGAGGCATGCAGGAAAAGGTGCACACAGGGGGGCCCTGCGGAGGCTGCCCTCTGCAGAGTGCACCATCGAAAGGGGGAGGCTGTGGAATCCCCTGGGCCGCCTGCTTCCTCACCACGGCCTCTTTGCTCTCCTGGTTCACTGGCCGCCACGACTCCGAGTGGCTATTTCTTTCCAGATAATTATACAGAAAGGCACGGTTACAGCAGGCCTGGGAGCATCCGGCCTGAAGGCCGTCGAAGCTCCAGACTCCATCTGTACCAGTGAGCATCGCCCGCCTCACCACAAAGAGGCGGTTCCCGCTGCCACATCAGGGATGAGTGGATTAACTGTTTGACCGGCATGGCCTGGGAATGATGGTGTGCGTCTCCAAATGGCCCTTGGCAGAGAAAAGGTTCCCCACCCCTGATTTCCAGACTGGGGCTGCAGTGCCCTTAAGACAGGGATACTTTTAAGAGGACGGACGATTGCCTTGTGGGAGCAGACATCCCCAGCACTGGCCATGCCACCATGTCTGGGCCCAGCAGTTCCCGGCACAGCGAGTTTTAGTTCCTGTACACGGTGCTAGGCTGGCTGCCTGCCGTGTGCAAATACAGGCTTGAGATTGTAAGTCTGTGTGCTAGATGGGCTTATTAGGGACCAAAAAAAGAAATCAATTTAATGAAAAACTCCTAACGCTGCTGGGCTTTTCACCCAAACCCACTGCATGTCCTTTCTAAGGGCTGCATGGGGCGTCGTTTGCATGTGCCCCAAATGCCGAGCCCCCCCACAGTCCAGCACCAACCCCGTCGGGACAGATCTGTGCCATCACCAACAGAGAGGCTGGGGCGGTTTGCGACAGGTGACTGTCTGCCCAGGAAAGACCTGCCGACGGCAGGATGCTCCCCTGTATGTGAGGCCGGGTTGCCGCCGAGAGAAACAAATCCAGAGACACCCGTATGTGAGAGAGAGCTTGATACCACGGACAGGCGTACCTCACGACCTCCCAGCCCAGTCCAGATCAGTCCACAAATCGGATCCTAGCCCTTACGTCCGACACGAGTCCATCAATCCTCCTCCTTCAGACCCAAAGCGCAGCACATGCAATGATGCAGAATGCAGGAAGATCACTGGCCGGTGCGTGAAAACTCATGTGGATCCCGTGGCAGTGGAAGCAGCACAGGGCTCATGCAGGTCTCGGCTGTGTGGCTCCACGTGGCTTGTCAACAGGAAGGTGAAGCAGAGACAGGGAAGTTCCCAGAATCCTCCTGAGAAGGCCACGCCCCCAAGGAGGCGGCACCAGGCTGGACTCCACCCCTTCATGCCTATTTATCAAGTTACATGAAATTATGCAGCTACACACCATTTTTCTCTAGAGCCCAGAAAGCCTTTCGTACACAGTTCTGCCCTCCCATGGAGATAGCTTACGATGGTGGCTGCTTCGGCAGGAAGGGACGTGGTCATCTGATTGTCGTTAAGGTGCTGTCCGGCCAGTTCTGAGCCCTCGCAAGCCCTGCGCAGCAGAACGGCACACCGCCTGGCCCTGCACCCGCCGCACAGTTGTGTATGTGAGCCCATCAGAGCAGCCGGTGTCCGTTTATCTGGTTGAGGACCGTGGTCCTTTCTCTGCCTCCCCGGTTCACCAAGCACGAGGCCTTCAGCGCCTAGTCCCCCTAAGGAGCACCCTGCCCGCACTTCTCCCAGCACGCCTGCTCGCCCCTCCGGTGGCCCACAGAACCTTCAGTAGCCGTCACCGACACGCCGTTCAGACGCACTGGTTCTTCCGCAGTCCAGCTTACGTAGTCAGTGTCCAGCTGTCATGGGCATGGGGGCACTGAAAATGTCGTGGCCTGGGTCACGCTCACCTTAGTCCTCGAGGGGACAATCTCGTTCTGAGACACTTTAAAGAGGTCTCTCGGGCGGCAGCTCTGCCCAACGCAGTGCATCGTTGGGTTGGCTAACAATTGTCATGGTAGGGTTGACATTCTACCAGCTTACATCCCGACCTCCGATTGACCTCTGAATCGTCTCCTCTCCTCATCAATGCTAACTACAACCATGTACGTGGTGCGGGAGAGGCTCTCGGAACGCCGAGCAGCCACAGTGGGCGTGAGCATTTAAAAGCGTCCGAGGACCGTCTGTGTTCCTCTAGCTGGCCGTCTCTGTCCTCCTCCCTGAGCTGCTCACTGCGTGTTGGTCTGCCAGGGCACTCTGTGGCTTAGTGGGTCACGCATGAAGCTACTGAGGGAGAGGTCATCAATTCAAAACTGCTAGCTGTGGGAGAAAGGCAGCTTTCTGGTCCCCAGAAGAGGGACAGTCTGGGGACCCCCC